CCCCTCCAGCCCCAGCCATGCTGGCTCCCTGCATGATGACCTGAATCAGGGTAAGGGCGAAGGTTTGTGGTGGGGACGACGTGGGTGTGGGCAGTTCTTGCCCGGGAGCTGCTGCTAGAAAGAGCCAAAGATCCTTCCCGATAAGTACATTCCCTCGGAAAATGGCTCTCATCTTCCCTGCGGTAACAACAGTTGACAGTGAAGGAGAGGAGACCTGGAAGTGGGAAGTTCTTTGCCATCTTCAGGGCAAGGAAAGGCCCCCAGAAAGGTTGACTCCAAGGTGAGGGACAGGGTTTCATCTCCACAGTGTCCCGAGATGACGCGGAAGGGCTCCTTCTGATGGAGGAGGAGGGTCACTCCGACCTCATTAGTTTCCAGCCGACAGACAGCGACCTCCCCAGCTTCCTGGAGGACTGCAACCGGGTATGATGGCAGGGTCTGTGCCCCTCCACCCCCAGAGGTAGCTGAATGGCCGGTCCCAAGAAGGGGGGCAGGGAGGGTTGGGCCCTTCTCCCCGATCCCGAGGCTACTGGCATCTCTGCTGTCTCCAGGCCAAGCTGCCCCGAGGCATCCACCAGGTGCGTCCTCACCTGCAAAACATTGACAATGTGCCCCTGCTGGTGCCCCTGTTCACCGACTGTACCCCCGAGAGTGAGTACTGTAGGCTCACAGTCTGGGCTGGACGAGCCGGGGAATCCAGGGGGCTGGAGCTGTGGGTGTGCCCATTCTAGGGAGTCAGAAATGACTCATTCCGTGATATTCATGCTCCTTGGGGGTAGGATTGTCCCAAAGAGGGGCCTGCTTCCCTTCTCTCCTGTTCTCCTGCCATGTGGGTCTCTGCCCAGAGCCTCACATAGGGCTCTGCCTGCCTGACTCTTGTGCCCCCCGACTGCCCCTTCCCACCCCCCAGCCATGTGTGAGATGATCAAGATCATGCAGGAATATGGGGAGGTGACCTGCTGCCTGGGCAGCTCTGCCAACCTCCGGAACAGCTGCCTTTTCCTCCAGAGCGACATCAGGTGAGGACGATACCCTGGAGCCGGGGCTTACATGGGGCTGGGGCATGTTCCACGGCCGATCTTACCCGGATGGGGACCGAGGGACCTGGACATGGTAGAGAGAGAGGGAGCAGGTGCTTGCCTACTCCCGTGGGAGACGGGGTCTTTGTGGAGTGTCGCTGAGGGGTATGCTTTCCCCTTGTGCCGAGCAGCATTGCCCTGGATCCCCTGTACCCATCCCGCTGCTCCTGGGAGACCTTTGGCTACGCCACCAGCACCAGCATGGCCCAGGCTTCGGATGGCCTCTCTCCCCTGCAGCTCTCAGGGCAGCTCAACAGCCTGCCTTGCTCCCTGACCTTTCGCCAGGAAGAGACCATCAGCATCATCCGGCTCATTGAGCAGGTGGGGGCTCGGGCAGGCGGAGGGGGCAGGGATGTGGGGCCTGCGGGGGGTGGGGAGTGGGGACCCAGGACCCACCTGGGCTCCCAGGGGCAGATTCACCTCCAAGAGAGGCTTTCCCGGGCACTTTTATTTGCCTCCACCCTTTCCTAGCAGGAGCATCTGGGCATCTGGCTCTTGGCTGAGATTTGTCAGCTGTAGGCCCGGCCACAATCTGTCCCTCCCGGTCCCTAGGCTCGGCACGCCACCTACGGCATTCGCAAGTGCTTCCTCTTCCTGCTACAATGCCAGTTGACTCTCGTGGTCATTCAGGTGAGGTGGGGTCTGTAGAGGCCTTGCCCCTCCCCCACCTGCTCCTCCACCCAGGGCCAGTTGAGGGTGGGGTGGCAGGTCGGGGGGGATGCAGCACAGCCTAGGGGCCCGCTAGCCTCTAGTGGAACCCCTGGGCTTTTGAAGATGACCCCGTCAGCAAAATAGTGGCCCCTGGGGCCCCAGCTCCTCTGGGCACCTGTCTGGGCACAGGGCCGGGCAGCCCTGGGGCTCCAGGCTTCCCACTATTTGCTAGAATCTAATCATGCTTCCTGGGCTCTCCTGTTTCAGTTCCTCTCTTGCCTGGTTCAGCTGCCACCGCTGCTGAGTACCACTGACATCCTGTGGCTGTCCTGCTTTTGTTACCCTCTGCTCAGGTAAGAGTCACACTGCCCTTCTGTGCCCAGGCAGGCAGAGTCGGGATGTCACCAAGCGGCCCTGGGAGTCCAGGTTCTGTGAGACCCGCTCAGTGGTCACATCTCCTGGCGCCGGAGGCACTGGGGGGGAGGGGGGCTCCTTCTCCCTCGTCTTATCCCATCTCCTCCCAGACCTGCCCTCACTCCCCAAAACTCCCGAAAGGCCACCTGTGTGGGAATTGGGGTACAAAGGTCGCAGTCGCCACGCTTCACCCAGTCCCTGCTTTTCAGCATCTCCCTGCTGGGGAAGCCCCCGCATAGCTCTATCATGTCTATGGCCACAGGGAAGAACCTTCAGTCCATTCCTAAGAAGGTAAGCAATGTGGAGCCTGTAAGCCTGGGCCGTTCCTGAGATACGTGTGTGGGGGTGGGGGGGGTGGGGACGGAGCCTCAGGGGAGAGATAGCCTTTCCTTAGAGATGTGTGTGAGAGACATGCATGCGTGCGTGCATATGTGTGTGTGTGTGTGTGTGAGACAGAGCCTCGGGGGAGAGATGGCCTTTCCTTAGAGACGTGTGTGAGAGATGTGCATGTGTGCGTGCATGCGTGCATGCGTGTGTGTGTGTGTGTGTGTGTGTGTGTGTGTGTGTGTGAGGCGGAGCCTCGGGGGAGAGACAGAGGCTTCTGTCAGAGCTTGCCTCCAGCCGAAGGGGAGGTGGTGGTGTGGAGCTGGGAAGGGTCCTCTGCCTCTGGGCCCGCCGTTTCCTGGAGAGCCCGCTGAGCCTGGTGCCGGAGGGGCCGCTGCTGCGCGAGTGACAGGCCTCCCTTTTCTCTGCAGACCCAGCACTACTTCCTGCTCTGCTTCTTGCTCAAATTCAGCCTCACCGTCAGCTCGTGCCTCATCTGCTTCGGCTTCACGCTGCAGAGCTTCTGTGACAGCTCCCGGGCCCGCAACCTCACCAACTGCTCCTCCATCATGCTGAGCAGGTGGGTCCTGAGCCAGCCCCTCCCCCCACCCCTTTCCCGGGGGCCCGGCGGGCACTGAGGCCACCCCTTGCTTTGGCAGTCATGCCGACACAGCTCCAGCCTGGTTTGACGACTTTGCCAACGGGCTGCTGACGGCCCAGAAGCTCACCGCGGCCCTGATCGTCCTGCACACGGGTGAGGGGCTCCCAGGGAGGAGCCGGTGGTGGCTGGTGGGGCACAGGGGGCAAGGCCTTCGGCCGGTGGGAAGTCTGACAACCCCCTTCACTGACCCTGTTTTCTCCAGTCTTCATTTCTATCACCCACGTGCATCGCACTAAGCCCCTGTGGAGAAAGAGCCCCTTGACCAACCTCTGGTGGGCCGTGACGGTGCCCGTGGTGTGAGTATCTCCGGATGGAGGTGGGGGAGGGGCAGGGGACTTTGGCAAGACTAGGGCTTGAAGGTAGGAGTTGAGCCAGGGGTTGAATGCTGTCCCCCTTGAGCTACTCGTCGTGGGAAAAGCCAGGCGGGAGGCAAGAAGAGCCAAGTTCACGCAGGGCTGTCCCTGCCTCCTGCAGCCTGTTGGGGCAGGTGGTCCAGACGGCCGTGGACCTGCAGCTGTGGACGCACAGGGACAGCCGTGTCCACTTTGGCCTGGAGGACGTGCCCCTGCTGACGTGGCTCCTGGGCTGCCTCTCCCTGGTCCTTGTGGTGGTCACCAATGAGATCGTGAAGCTGCATGAGATTCGGTGAGCCACCAACTGGGCCCTCCCTCTGGGGTCAGGCGCGTTCCCTAAGCCTGTCACCTCCTGGGCACTGTTCCCCAACTTGCCCTCTGCCTGGACTTCCCTCCTCTGGGGTCCTGCCGTTTGCGGCCAGGGGTTCTGCTCTAACCTGTGCTTTCGTCTCCTGCCCCACCAGGGTCCGGGTTCGCTACCAGAAGCGACAGAAACTGCAGTTTGAAACGAAGCTGGGCATGAACTCCCCTTTCTGAGCCATTGGCCACAGTGGCCATAGCTGCCCTGGCCCTGGGGTAAAGCCAGACCAGTTCCTGAGTCTGGGGAGTTGGTATCGTGAAGGTTTCAGGGTTTCCTCTCGTGCCCCTGGCACTGCAGGCCCAGCTCCGTGTCAGAGCCAGCTGTCATCCTGACGCCCGGGGCTTACTGTGGAGGAGCTGGTGAGCCGTGGCCTCGGCATCAGGACAGTCTGGTCTTGAATGTATGATCTAGTGCACTTAGTAGAGGGGCCCTTAGCCCCCTCCACCCGTGGGCTGCACCCCTTTCGGGGCTCTTAACCCAGGGCCCTCTGCTCTTGGGTCCCCGGGCAGAGCCATGACCCGTGGGGCCAGGATCTCAGCGGCAGCAGCCGTGGGAGGTCCGGACAGGCCACCGTCGAAGGCAGCAGTGGTGGTGCATCCTCCCTGCGCCCCAACCTGTCCTCCTGGGGTAGAGGCCTGGGTGTGGTTGAGTGTTTCCCCTCCCTCCTTCTACGGGGGAGCCTCACGCTCAGACCTGAAGATGAAGACCGCCCCCCCACACTGGCCCTGGCACCTCTTCCTGTGCTGCCTTCAAGCTGGCCTCAAGCCTGAGTCTTGGGGATGCAGCCCAGGGCTCCTCTTAGCCCCCTGCCCTAGTTCTCCTGTGAGAATGTTTTTACTGGTGTATATTTTTTACTGGAAATGAGCCTTTTAGGAATGAATGTAGACTGGTTTGTATTAAAACTTGTAAATTGCTTACGAAAAATCTGTGGCTGGTCCATGAGGCAGCCACTAAGGGGCCCACCCAAGACCTTGGCTGGTGAGGGACCCCCAAAAGGAAGGGGAGGGCCCAAGCCTTCCTCCTTCCATACTGGCTCAACCGACTGAGCCACCCAGGTGTCCCTACCTCCTTCCATACTGGCAAGAGCCCTCAGGTCTGGCTCAGGTGAGAACCCTGGGCCCGGAGGTCCACGGCACAGATCCAAACACACAGCCCGATCACATGGAATGACACTTTCATTGGTGTTAGTTGGGAGAAGAGGTTAATGGTTACAGAGCCAGGGCCTGGGCCAATCCAGATCAGGCTGCCAGCCCCGAGGTGGACAGTGGGCACTCTTGCTGTGGTCCGAAGCCCCTTCCCCTGTGTCCTCTCAGGTGGTTATAGATAGAATAAATTCCATTTAAAATATATGCATTTCTCTCTGCTTAAAAAATAACATTTACAGTTGAAAAAGTTTGGACTTTGGGGATCTGTTCATCCCCCCGCCCCCACGCCCATCAGCTGTGCCTCACTGAGGGCAGACAGGGTCAGGGGCAGGGGCTGGCCTGGGCACCGCCATCACCGCTGACAGCAAGCCCCCAGCTGCCTATTTACATGTCCTGTGTACCCCTGTGGGAACTGGGTCAGACACACAGCTTTCAGAGCGCCAGGACGGCACAGCACAGCAGTGTCAGTAGGTCCTCGGCACAGGGTCTTGAGACACCAGAGGTGGTGGCAGAGCGGAGGAGGCTCTTACCAGGGTCCCTGTCCCCAGGGGCAGGGCTGTCTGGTCAGATTACACAGTGGGAGGGCGCCCTGTGGACAGGCACGGTTCGGACAAGTCCCCTGAGCCTGTCATGGAGACCGCCCCCTGGAGCTGCAGTGCTGCCGGGCCCCACTGGCTTGGAGCAGCAGGGGGTACCCTTCTTGGGGGCAAAGGCAACAGACGCCACAGGTCCCAATGGGCACCGCTGAAGGCCGCCAGAGGGTCTCAGTCCAGCATGGCATCCAGCTGGTCGGCCAAGGCATCAAACATGGTGCTGATGTCGTCCAGAATGTGCTTGGTGGAGGTGCCGGGAGGGCTGGAGTGGGGGAAGGATGGCATCAGATCAGAAGGCACCCCACTGGCCCTGGGCGGGCAAGGGGCTGCTCCTGAGCACCTGGCTGGTGCCAGGTACTTCGTGTGCCCCTTGCTTCTCCCAGCCTGCCGGTGCAGCATGTGCTACTGTCCCTGAAGTGAGAGCCCCGGGGCCCAGGAGGAAGTGCTGTGCTCAAGCCCACGTGCCTTTAAGCAGTGGCCCCCAGGATACCCCACAGGCCACATCTGGGAAACTTCAGAACCTGGGCTCCTCCCGTTTTAATAGTGGTCACCCTGGCCCTCAGATCTGTCTGGGGACTGCCCCCCCCCCCCAATTCCCAGGACCCTGGGGAAGAGGATTCAGGAGGAGCTGTTCCTTCACTACAGCCTTCTCCCCCTCCCTGGCCACCCAGCACCCAGCACCCCTCACCCTTCTCGTTCCTCTGTGCCAATGCTCTTCTCTGCGGCCCGTAATGCAGCTGCCAGCGATGAGCTGGTCTGTTCCAGTCTCTGCTGGGCCCGGCCAGGGCCCACGGCTCCAGTGCTCTCGGGCCTGGGAGGGGGCACGGGGCGGGGGCCAAGCCGAGGAGCCAGCTTAGGGCCGGAAAATGCCAGCTGGGTGCAGGCCACAGACACAGGCTTGGGGGCTGTTCCTGTGGAGACAAAAAGGTTGGCCGTGACTTGGCCGGGCTTGATACAACCCTTGTAAACACTGACAACCCCCCCCCCCCCACCCAGACCCTGCCTCGTACCTGCACCTGGCACCTTGATGAGGGCAGCGGGGGAAGCTGGGGGCTCAGTCTCCCCGTGCCGCCGATTCCCCACCGAGGTTTCCAGAGCAGGCCCAGGGCAGGGGGGAGCAAGGGGCTGGGCTGGGGAGCCGGAAGAAAGAGGGGCTGGAGCTCCCTGAGTTGGAAGGCTGCTAGGGTCAGGCCGGGGAGGGCTGGGAGAAGCTGAGGAGGGGGCCTCACTGGGGGGCTGGGAGGGCAGGGGGGTAGAGGGGCTGGGTGTGGCACTGGCCACTCCGAAGGCCAGAAGTGCCGTCTGCAGCGGCTCTCTTTCCCGGCATTTGGGCCTCCGCTTAACAGTGTCTGACTCTGTGAGGTTGAAATCGAGGCCAGCGGGCACAGGCGTCTCCCGGGGTGGGGGGCCAGCTGGCTTCGGCCGCTGTTTGATAGTCAGGTTCCCCTCCTCGGCAAACGGGAGCCCTTCCCCTGAGCTGCCCCGAGATGGGGGTGTCCCCTCAGGTCCTGGCTCCTCCTCCTCTGTGTCCGACACAGGGCCAGCTGGGGCAGGTGGGCTGGGGGGCTCTGAAGGGCCGGTTGGTTCACTTAGCGTTCGCCTTCGGGGCACGGAGGCCCCCTCCTTGGGCCCCGGGCTTCCATCTAGTGGAGGCGGCTCGGTGGTGGGGCCAGAGACAGAGCTGAGGCGTTTAGGGGGTGGGGGTGGGGGGCCTTTGCGCCGGGCACGAAGGGCAAAGGACTGGCTGCGGGGAGCCCCTCGAGCGGGAGTCGGGCTAGGGCTGGTCCGAGCTAGGGCACTGCGTCCGGGTCGCCGAGTGAGGGTGGCGTAGCTCCCCAAGGCACTGCCCACTGGCCCTTCAGCCTCTCCCTCTGCTTCGCCCTCAGTGGGGCCGGGGCGGCTTAGGCTATGGGACCGGCGCTTGGGCCGAGGTGGGTCCGGAGGAGTGGCGGGGGGCCCAGCCAAGTAGGAGAAGGCACGAGGTGCACCAGGCGGTGGCCCTGGGGCTGGGCTGGAGGGTGAGCCCTGGGGATACATAAAAACATAAGGGGGGGGGCCTTGGCCAGGAAGTGGGGAACAAAGCTTAGGGGGTCGTTCTGTGCCCTCTGGAAGGTTCCTCTCCTGTGGGGTGCTGGAGTCTCCACCACTGGGCTGGGGCGCAGGCTGTTCCTGTGAGTGACCGGACCCTCGTGAGCGTGCTCCAATGCTCTCCTGGCTGGGAGAGCGGGCAGGGGGCAGGGGGAGCGGCTCAGGGCCACCCCCAGCCATGGCTGCCTGTAGCTCTGGGCTCAGCTCACTGCCCTGAAAGGTGAGGAGGCGTGGGCCAGCTGCAGCCGGACCGTCCCCATTCTCCAGCCCCTCAATGGCCATCAGCTCTGGGCCTCTGGCTAGACGGCGGCCACCTTCCGCTGGGGCCTCCCCCTGCAGCAGGCCCCGCCGAAGCTCGGCCAGCCGCTTCACTCCCAGCATGAGCTTCTTCTGATGACCTGAGAGGGGACAGTAGAGGCAACAGGGTTAGTGGGGGCTGCAAAGGGTCACCTTAGTTCCTCCTGGACCCCATTCTCCCTTCCGGGCCTGACCCCTGAAATGTCTTAGAGACCCTGGGAGGCACGTGGGGGCCTGGCCAGAAGGCCCCAGCGCAGTCCTCACCGAGCTTGTTGACCCCGATCTCTTGCAGCTCCTCCCAGGTGAGGTCGGCCACCAGCCCCATGGAGTCGTAGCCACTGCTGACCAGCTGCTTGTGGTACTGCGGCAGCCCCAGCGCGCACAGCCACTCCAACAGGTCCACCTGGAAAAGGACCCCAATGGAGCCGGGTCCCCAGCCGGCCCCTCGGCCCCCAAGCCGGGAAGGGCCCACACGGCCACGGCTGAAGGTGGGCGCTGGCGCCAGCCACCTGCTTACCGGGATGTAGTTGGGCAGCCACTCGGCGATGCTGAGCTGAGCGATCTCTGAGGCGATCTTCTTCCTGTGCCCAGGCTTGGTCACCCCGATGGCCGTCAGGTCCTGCCACACAGACCCGGGCCGTTAGGCCCCCTCCGGTACCCACTGGGCCCTCTGCTGCCTTCCTGCTGTGGCACCTACCTCAGGCGTCATGCGGCTGATGGTTGGCACGTCGTAGCCAGCCTGCAGGAAGTGGGCGGTGTAGCCTTCCAGCTGAAACTCACTCAGCCAGTTATGAATGGCCTGTGCGTCCTGTGGCGTGCGGGCAGAGTGAAGTTAACAGAGCGGAGACTCCGGAGGAAGAGCCGAGGCCGGGGCCCACCCGTCAGCCCCAGCCTCCCCTAGGGGCCCGGCCAGAGCAGGGACTTGAGTCCATACCGAGGCCCATCCCACCCCGGGCCTGCAGCCCACTTCCCAGCAGGGAAGTCACACCTTCCCCTCCAGCAGCTGCTCCGGCCTCACGTCCTGGGTGAAGAGCTGTTCCCCAGAGTGGTAGCTGACCAGAGGGCGGTGATTCAGGTTGTCTTCAAGAGGGAGAGAAATGGAATCAGGGGCAGCAGGATGGAGGAGGGCCCGCCCGGGTACCATCTACCCTTCCTACCTGCCAGGGATGGGGGGTGCAGTCCTGGCAACACCTGGTCCTCTCCCGGGGAAGGCAGAGGCTAGAGACAGAACAGGCGCTACTCAGCATGTGGGGGAGCTGACGGCGGGGCGCACGACTCTGCCCCGGCCCTGATGCCCCCTGCCTCCTACCTGAGCGTTCTCAATAAGAAGGCCAGTGCCATGGCCGTTGGTGCCCTCGGAACTCTGCCCGCTGCCGGCACTGCGGATGCTGCCCACGCTGCCCTCGCTGCCCACGCTATTCCTGTCACCTGCTGCAGGGACACAAGCGACGGGGTTGGAGTGCCAGTTGGCCTCACCAACAGCTGACTGGCGGCTTGCCAAGGCTGGACGCCCACCCCGGTGCCCAGCATCACTCTCTGGGAGGATGTACCTGGGCTGTCTGGGCTGAGGCCCACACGCGGGAGCTGGCCATAGGTCAGAGAGTGCAGGGGGTCATCGGCAGGGGGCTGCTGTGTCCGAGAGAAGCCTGGGCGGAGGGGGGTGGGCACCGACGGGAGGCGGGGCGCAAGGACGCCCACTCGCTTGCTGACCACCTCCACGATGCCTGGGGGGAAGTAGCCCACACGGTCCGTGCCCCTCTGGCTCTCGTGGATGTGGCCCTTCCAGCGGCCGTCGGGATGTTGCTCCAGCACCTGGGGCAGAGGGGGCGTGGGAGAGCGTGGCGTCAATCACTTCCTGCACCGAGCAAAGGCAGGCAGCCAGCCCTATAGCTACGATCCAGCTTTTCCTCTTCCCATGAGGAGTTGGCACCCAAGCGCAACCACGGTTCTGCCCTTCCTGGCACCATCCAGCCCAATCCACCTGCACTGGGTCCTCACCGTGATGACATCCCCTGCCCGCACATTGAGAGCAGTGGGATCGTGGAGGTTCCAGAAATCCTTGAGCGCTCGGACCTTCAGGATCCCCGAGGCCTCTGAGAGAAGATGCAGGGCTGGCATCATCTCAGAGTCCTTAGGGTGTCTTCCCGCCCCTCCTGTCCCTTTCACGACCCTCCCCCAGGTTTCTGCTACAGCAGTCCCCAAACCAGCCCCAGGTTAGGGAGTGTGACATCTTGCTCCTGGAACATCGCCCCTGCTCCACTTCCTAGTAATCACTGGAGTGGCTCTGTTCTCTCCCTCCCCTGCCTGCCTCCTCCCCACCACCCCCCAGCTCTGGGCTGGATCTCCCCTCACACACACTCACCCCGCAGCAGCTGCTTGATTTCTCGGCTGGCCTGGGAGGTGGTGAACTGATTCACAATGTCCAGTGCTGTCTGGTTGTACGTGTTCCGAATGTTCACATCCACCCCGCCCTGGGTGCACAGCGTGAGCACACGCTAAGAACTTCGCCTGCCACTCCCCCCAGTGCTCATGAGCACCCAGGACATAAACAGTACCTACTACTTTCAAATTTTACAGATAAAAAAAGGAAGCTCAGAGGTAGGATCAAGGACGAGCTGAAGGTCATTCAGCGAGTGGCCGGTGGAAGTGGGGCTTGAGCCAGGTCTGCCTGCTCTCCAGTCACAAGGCCAGTGCCTACCCAAGCACCACATCGTGGGTGGAGACCCCCTCCTGTGTGGGGGGCGCCCGGGTGCCCACACTTACCTCCAGGAGCAGCCGGACTACCTCGGTCTTGCCATACAGCGCTGCCTCGTGGAGGGCCGTGCCTGTCTTGGTCTGGCGGTTGATCTCGATCCCAGCTCTCAGGAGCTGCCTGTGGAGTATGGGGGTCGGGGGGTGCAGGGTGAGTCACAGGGGTGATGGGGGCAGGAGAGGGAACAGGCTGCTCCAGGCTGGGAGAGTGATCCAGAGCGAGAGTGAAGAGGGCGGCAGGGCACCGAGGGGACATCGCCCATTCCACAGGAAGAGGATGAGGAAGTGGGGGGGGGGGGGCGCCCGGTGGGTACCTGATGACCTCTCTGTGGCCATTCTTGGCAGCCAAGTGCAGGGGCGTGGTGTAGTTGGGGTCACACGGGTCCTTGGCCTCACCCTCCANCCCCCCCCCCCACCCAGACCCTGCCTCGTACCTGCACCTGGCACCTTGATGAGGGCAGCGGGGGAAGCTGGGGGCTCAGTCTCCCCGTGCCGCCGATTCCCCACCGAGGTTTCCAGAGCAGGCCCAGGGCAGGGGGGAGCAAGGGGCTGGGCTGGGGAGCCGGAAGAAAGAGGGGCTGGAGCTCCCTGAGTTGGAAGGCTGCTAGGGTCAGGCCGGGGAGGGCTGGGAGAAGCTGAGGAGGGGGCCTCACTGGGGGGCTGGGAGGGCAGGGGGGTAGAGGGGCTGGGTGTGGCACTGGCCACTCCGAAGGCCAGAAGTGCCGTCTGCAGCGGCTCTCTTTCCCGGCATTTGGGCCTCCGCTTAACAGTGTCTGACTCTGTGAGGTTGAAATCGAGGCCAGCGGGCACAGGCGTCTCCCGGGGTGGGGGGCCAGCTGGCTTCGGCCGCTGTTTGATAGTCAGGTTCCCCTCCTCGGCAAACGGGAGCCCTTCCCCTGAGCTGCCCCGAGATGGGGGTGTCCCCTCAGGTCCTGGCTCCTCCTCCTCTGTGTCCGACACAGGGCCAGCTGGGGCAGGTGGGCTGGGGGGCTCTGAAGGGCCGGTTGGTTCACTTAGCGTTCGCCTTCGGGGCACGGAGGCCCCCTCCTTGGGCCCCGGGCTTCCATCTAGTGGAGGCGGCTCGGTGGTGGGGCCAGAGACAGAGCTGAGGCGTTTAGGGGGTGGGGGTGGGGGGCCTTTGCGCCGGGCACGAAGGGCAAAGGACTGGCTGCGGGGAGCCCCTCGAGCGGGAGTCGGGCTAGGGCTGGTCCGAGCTAGGGCACTGCGTCCGGGTCGCCGAGTGAGGGTGGCGTAGCTCCCCAAGGCACTGCCCACTGGCCCTTCAGCCTCTCCCTCTGCTTCGCCCTCAGTGGGGCCGGGGCGGCTTAGGCTATGGGACCGGCGCTTGGGCCGAGGTGGGTCCGGAGGAGTGGCGGGGGGCCCAGCCAAGTAGGAGAAGGCACGAGGTGCACCAGGCGGTGGCCCTGGGGCTGGGCTGGAGGGTGAGCCCTGGGGATACATAAAAACATAAGGGGGGGGGCCTTGGCCAGGAAGTGGGGAACAAAGCTTAGGGGGTCGTTCTGTGCCCTCTGGAAGGTTCCTCTCCTGTGGGGTGCTGGAGTCTCCACCACTGGGCTGGGGCGCAGGCTGTTCCTGTGAGTGACCGGACCCTCGTGAGCGTGCTCCAATGCTCTCCTGGCTGGGAGAGCGGGCAGGGGGCAGGGGGAGCGGCTCAGGGCCACCCCCAGCCATGGCTGCCTGTAGCTCTGGGCTCAGCTCACTGCCCTGAAAGGTGAGGAGGCGTGGGCCAGCTGCAGCCGGACCGTCCCCATTCTCCAGCCCCTCAATGGCCATCAGCTCTGGGCCTCTGGCTAGACGGCGGCCACCTTCCGCTGGGGCCTCCCCCTGCAGCAGGCCCCGCCGAAGCTCGGCCAGCCGCTTCACTCCCAGCATGAGCTTCTTCTGATGACCTGAGAGGGGACAGTAGAGGCAACAGGGTTAGTGGGGGCTGCAAAGGGTCACCTTAGTTCCTCCTGGACCCCATTCTCCCTTCCGGGCCTGACCCCTGAAATGTCTTAGAGACCCTGGGAGGCACGTGGGGGCCTGGCCAGAAGGCCCCAGCGCAGTCCTCACCGAGCTTGTTGACCCCGATCTCTTGCAGCTCCTCCCAGGTGAGGTCGGCCACCAGCCCCATGGAGTCGTAGCCACTGCTGACCAGCTGCTTGTGGTACTGCGGCAGCCCCAGCGCGCACAGCCACTCCAACAGGTCCACCTGGAAAAGGACCCCAATGGAGCCGGGTCCCCAGCCGGCCCCTCGGCCCCCAAGCCGGGAAGGGCCCACACGGCCACGGCTGAAGGTGGGCGCTGGCGCCAGCCACCTGCTTACCGGGATGTAGTTGGGCAGCCACTCGGCGATGCTGAGCTGAGCGATCTCTGAGGCGATCTTCTTCCTGTGCCCAGGCTTGGTCACCCCGATGGCCGTCAGGTCCTGCCACACAGACCCGGGCCGTTAGGCCCCCTCCGGTACCCACTGGGCCCTCTGCTGCCTTCCTGCTGTGGCACCTACCTCAGGCGTCATGCGGCTGATGGTTGGCACGTCGTAGCCAGCCTGCAGGAAGTGGGCGGTGTAGCCTTCCAGCTGAAACTCACTCAGCCAGTTATGAATGGCCTGTGCGTCCTGTGGCGTGCGGGCAGAGTGAAGTTAACAGAGCGGAGACTCCGGAGGAAGAGCCGAGGCCGGGGCCCACCCGTCAGCCCCAGCCTCCCCTAGGGGCCCGGCCAGAGCAGGGACTTGAGTCCATACCGAGGCCCATCCCACCCCGGGCCTGCAGCCCACTTCCCAGCAGGGAAGTCACACCTTCCCCTCCAGCAGCTGCTCCGGCCTCACGTCCTGGGTGAAGAGCTGTTCCCCAGAGTGGTAGCTGACCAGAGGGCGGTGATTCAGGTTGTCTTCAAGAGGGAGAGAAATGGAATCAGGGGCAGCAGGATGGAGGAGGGCCCGCCCGGGTACCATCTACCCTTCCTACCTGCCAGGGATGGGGGGTGCAGTCCTGGCAACACCTGGTCCTCTCCCGGGGAAGGCAGAGGCTAGAGACAGAACAGGCGCTACTCAGCATGTGGGGGAGCTGACGGCGGGGCGCACGACTCTGCCCCGGCCCTGATGCCCCCTGCCTCCTACCTGAGCGTTCTCAATAAGAAGGCCAGTGCCATGGCCGTTGGTGCCCTCGGAACTCTGCCCGCTGCCGGCACTGCGGATGCTGCCCACGCTGCCCTCGCTGCCCACGCTATTCCTGTCACCTGCTGCAGGGACACAAGCGACGGGGTTGGAGTGCCAGTTGGCCTCACCAACAGCTGACTGGCGGCTTGCCAAGGCTGGACGCCCACCCCGGTGCCCAGCATCACTCTCTGGGAGGATGTACCTGGGCTGTCTGGGCTGAGGCCCACACGCGGGAGCTGGCCATAGGTCAGAGAGTGCAGGGGGTCATCGGCAGGGGGCTGCTGTGTCCGAGAGAAGCCTGGGCGGAGGGGGGTGGGCACCGACGGGAGGCGGGGCGCAAGGACGCCCACTCGCTTGCTGACCACCTCCACGATGCCTGGGGGGAAGTAGCCCACACGGTCCGTGCCCCTCTGGCTCTCGTGGATGTGGCCCTTCCAGCGGCCGTCGGGATGTTGCTCCAGCACCTGGGGCAGAGGGGGCGTGGGAGAGCGTGGCGTCAATCACTTCCTGCACCGAGCAAAGGCAGGCAGCCAGCCCTATAGCTACGATCCAGCTTTTCCTCTTCCCATGAGGAGTTGGCACCCAAGCGCAACCACGGTTCTGCCCTTCCTGGCACCATCCAGCCCAATCCACCTGCACTGGGTCCTCACCGTGATGACATCCCCTGCCCGCACATTGAGAGCAGTGGGATCGTGGAGGTTCCAGAAATCCTTGAGCGCTCGGACCTTCAGGATCCCCGAGGCCTCTGAGAGAAGATGCAGGGCTGGCATCATCTCAGAGTCCTTAGGGTGTCTTCCCGCCCCTCCTGTCCCTTTCACGACCCTCCCCCAGGTTTCTGCTACAGCAGTCCCCAAACCAGCCCCAGGTTAGGGAGTGTGACATCTTGCTCCTGGAACATCGCCCCTGCTCCACTTCCTAGTAATCACTGGAGTGGCTCTGTTCTCTCCCTCCCCTGCCTGCCTCCTCCCCACCACCCCCCAGCTCTGGGCTGGATCTCCCCTCACACACACTCACCCCGCAGCAGCTGCTTGATTTCTCGGCTGGCCTGGGAGGTGGTGAACTGATTCACAATGTCCAGTGCTGTCTGGTTGTACGTGTTCCGAATGTTCACATCCACCCCGCCCTGGGTGCACAGCGTGAGCACACGCTAAGAACTTCGCCTGCCACTCCCCCCAGTGCTCATGAGCACCCAGGACATAAACAGTACCTACTACTTTCAAATTTTACAGATAAAAAAAGGAAGCTCAGAGGTAGGATCAAGGACGAGCTGAAGGTCATTCAGCGAGTGGCCGGTGGAAGTGGGGCTTGAGCCAGGTCTGCCTGCTCTCCAGTCACAAGGCCAGTGCCTACCCAAGCACCACATCGTGGGTGGAGACCCCCTCCTGTGTGGGGGGCGCCCGGGTGCCCACACTTACCTCCAGGAGCAGCCGGACTACCTCGGTCTTGCCATACAGCGCTGCCTCGTGGAGGGCCGTGCCTGTCTTGGTCTGGCGGTTGATCTCGATCCCAGCTCTCAGGAGCTGCCTGTGGAGTATGGGGGTCGGGGGGTGCAGGGTGAGTCACAGGGGTGATGGGGGCAGGAGAGGGAACAGGCTGCTCCAGGCTGGGAGAGTGATCCAGAGCGAGAGTGAAGAGGGCGGCAGGGCACCGAGGGGACATCGCCCATTCCACAGGAGGGGGGGGGGGGGGGGGGGGGGGGGGGGGGGGGGCGCCCAGTGGGTACCTGATGACCTCTCTGTGGCCATTCTTGGCAGCCAAGTGCAGGGGCGTGGTGTAGTTGGGGTCACACGGGTCCTTGGCCTCACCCTCCAGCAGCGCCACGCACAAGTGACTGTTCAGTAGCAGCTGGGCCACCTGCGGCAACCAGCACCCAGGTAGGGCTTCCTTCCGAGACCCCGCGGGTGCCCGCGCCCTAGCACCCTAAGGGCTGCCGGACTCACCTTGAGCCGCCCAAACTCGCAGGCCAGATCCAGGGGTGTCTTCTTTGCCTTGTTGACCAGGCACGGGTTGGACTGATGCTGGAGGAGCATTTCTGACTGGAGTGGAGGGAGGGGAGGGAGGCGTCTGGCCTGGCCTGCTTACGGCCCGCCCCCACGCCCCCTGCCCGCCCCCCTCCAGCGCCCCTGCAGGCAAACAGGCTCTCGTACCACTTCATAGTGTCCGTACTGGGCAGCCAGATGCAGTGGGATCTGCCCATCCAGCGAGGCGGCGTTGACGGCCGCTGAGGCCCGCAGCAGCAGCCTCACCGGCTCCAGCCGGCCCTGCCAGGCTGCGTAGTGCAGGGGGCGCATGCCTGCAGGAGGGAAGGCGGCTCAGGTCCCCGGGTGCGCTGGGGTCAGGGGAGGGAACTGAGCACACTGTAGGGCCTCCCTGGCTGGGGGGGAGACAGACCCAAGGGAAAGGATGCTGCTCTGGTCAGGGAAACATCTGGTTGTATGGGGCTCAAGGCAGAATCCCACCTTGCCCACCATGGGTGGTTCCTCACGACAGGAAGGAAACCTTGGCATCCTCATCTGGATACTGGGGTGTTAGTACCACCCACTACCCCCAGAAGGCTGCGCCAACACGTGTCAGCATTGCTAGGGTGTAGCAGGAGCAAACTCTGACCACAGGGTCTGGTGAGGGGACACACCGGGGTCTCACCATTGCTGTCTTTGATGTCCACGGTGGCCTGAGCCTCCAGCAGCAAGGCTATGAGCTCCAGGCTGCCCCCCAAGGCGGCATGGTGGAGAGCAGAGAATCTGAGGTGGTGGGACACAGGGCAGGGGTGTCAGCGAGTAGCCCCCCCAGCCCCCAAATCCGGGTCTTCCGCACCAGACTCATCCCGGAGGCGGGCAGGGGTGAGTTACTTGCCCGCTGTGGCCCCCGCTCCCCCACCCTGCCAGCCCTGCCGTGGGAGCGCAGAGCAGCGGGGCTCCAGCATGAAAGGGCTTAGTGTCTAGGCTGAGAGGCCTGTTTGTCTGGCCTCCCCCCCCAGCCAGCCCAGGGGAGGGGGCCGTGGGAGCAGGAGCCCGAGGGCTCCTACCCTCTGGGGAGAAAAAGGGGGCCTAAGCAGGAATCTGACCCAGGAGGCCCCTCCGAGAGGCACCAGGGCTCCCTCCCCTCACTCGGGGACAGCTCCACAGGCAGCAGGGTGGGCAGAAGCAGAGCTCTCAGCAAATGCCATTCAAGGGCCAAGTTTGAGAGGGGAAGGGACTCTAGGGCCCAGGTCTTTCCCCTTACCCCTCCCCCACCCCACAGCTCTCGAGACTCACCCATCAGCATCCTGGTAGTTGACGTTGAGTCTCTTCGTGGAGCCAAGGAGCTCTAGGGGATCAGAGCAGAAGGCATCAGGACACACTAGAATGATCCGCCCTTACCTGCATCCTAACCGATGCCCCCTCCCCACCCAGGTCCCCAATCCAGCTGACCTCTTGGTGTGCAAGAAAGCACCTGGCCCATGGCCCTTCTGCGATCCTGTCCCTGTGGCTCCCCACCCGGGCTGCTGGCCCATAGGCTCGAGGGCACCCAGTGCAGGGAGCTGCTGCGGCAGTGGCCTGGCTTCCCTGGGCCCCCAGCCCAGCTTGTTTATAGAGCCAAAGGGGGCGGGAAAGGGGGGGGACTGGCATGCCGTGCCCTCAATGGACAGGCCCACGAATGCATGGTTAGCATTCCTGCCTGAAAGGGCCAAGGAGTGTCTCATTGTCCCACTGGGCCGAGGGGGCTGCGAGAGAAAGAAGAGGGGCTCTAGATGCTGGAGGGCTGCAGGGCAGATAGCAGGACTGGGCTCAAGCCCAGGGGCATCCCCGCCTGGAGCGTGGTGAAGAAGGTGGCATCAGATAGAACCTGTACCGTGCCCAGCTCTGCCATGTCCTGGCTGTGGGACCCTGAGCAAGTCACTTAACCCGTCGGGCTTAGTGTCCTCATCTGCAAAATGGGTTGATCACGGAACCGGCTCACCAGGGTCGTGAGGATAATGCCTGACCCTCGTCCGCACGCCAAAGATGGGAGCCGTTGCCCTATTTAGCTCTCGTTACACGTTAGCCATGGTGGCCCACGTGCCGTCCTCCGGCAAAACTGGTACAGTCCCCCCACTGGCTCCTATCAAGGAGATAACTGCTGATTCTACACCCACAGGCTCCCAGCAGACATGTTCATGCCCTGGGCACAGGGCTCTCTACTGGGTGTGGCCAGAGGAGCCAGGGGCACGGGCAGGAGGCTGGTTCATCCCCGTCAGGAATGGTGGGCTCCAGGCACGGGCCAGGGCACAGGAGGGGGCGGTCCTGGATGAGCTTTGGGAGAGGAAGGGGAATGTCTGTCACAGGCGGGCCCCTGCCTCCTGCTGGAACCCACTCTTGCTGGGAAGGAGGAGGCCTGGCTCAACCCAGGCTGGGCAGGGTGCCAAGCATGCTGGTCCAGGCCTGCCCTCCAGGCCCTGGTGGGCCCCTGAATACCCCAGCAAGACAGGGCTTCATTCCAACAGGGAGGATCAACGCAGTGGTGAGGAGTAGGAGATGGGGAGAGGGGACAGCTACGTTTAGGGCCGAGCCGCACTAAGCTATGCACTATGCAGAAAAGGTAAATACAGAGCCGGGCAGTGACACGGGGCAGAGGGGGTGGGGGCTGCTGGAAAGAAACACAGGTCTCCCAGCCGTCTCTAGGCCCCTTGGAAAGTCGTGGTCACACAGAGCCATTCAGGGCAACGGAAAGGAAAGGGGCTTTAGAAGCAGGAAGCAGGTGGTTCAAATTCTCCCCCTTACTGGCTGTGCGACCTTGGCCAGCCAGGGCGCCTCTCCGAACTTCTGCGGTGAAGACAACGAGGTCAGCGGGGAGGACGCGCAAAAAGTCCCTCCAGCTGCTGCCAGCCTAGACAGTCCGGAATGGGGCCGCTCAGTGGGGAGATACAACCCCTCCGGGGAGTGGCAGCACAATATGACAGGAGGGACAGGAACGGGAGCAGGGCCAGGCTGGGTGGCTCTGTTCTTTCCAGAACAATGGCCGGAAAGGCGGTGGGGGAGAGGCTCAGAGTGACTGGGCTTGGGACCTTGGCTGGAGGGCGGAGGGTCCAGGTTCCTGGCGGTCGCTCCAGGCACTTCCCTTGTATCACAATCTTCTTTCCCGGCCCGGCTCTGGGGGTGGAAGGGTCGCTCCTGATTTAGGCTCAGCCAGAGGATGTGAGCTCACTGGGCCACCCTCGGCCCACTCCATTTCCTCTGGCCAGAGAAGGAGACAGCTCAGAAAAGGGAGTAGGGGGGAGGGAGGGAGGGAGGGCAGGGGTAAGGCCAGGGCAGCAGCTCCTCTCTCCTCCCAGCCACCTGCTCCTTTAAGAGGACCTGGGAGGGCAGGGAATGCCAAACTGCCAGTGACCAGATATCAAACGGAGGAGGCTGAGGGAGCACCACTCTTTGGCCAGCCAGAAGGTTCGAGCCACTCACCAGAAGGAAAAAGGGGAGCCCTGACACCTCCCTTTCCATCAGCTGCCTCTGCCTCACTGTGATACGGAGTAGGAGTTCCCAGCCCCCGCTTCTGACAACTGCTTTAGAGTCACCTGGAGACCGCTTTGATTTGCGGAGTCACAAGATCTCTATGATGATTCTCATTCTGAGGAAGAACAGGGAGTCTTTCAGAACAATCACTGGGTAATTCTGAAGGGCAGCTGAGTGCAGGTGCAGAGGAGAGGACAGGGACCCTGATTTGCCACATAATGGCTGTGTGACCTTGGGCAAATCACTAACCCTCTCTGAGCGTCAGTTCCCTTATCTGTAAGGTAGATGCAGAAATACCCATCTGACGGGGAATTGAGGGATTACATCTCGTAAACTGTAGGGTCTGCAAACGTCACCTTGTGATCTCCTTTTTGCACCGGATTTCCCAGCTTCTCAGAGGACTAGGAGGGGAGGCTCAGTGCCAGGGCCTCACAAGGAGGCCCAGGACTCTGTCACTCTGTGCCCATGCCTACATTCTGTATAAGTCCCCTTGGGGGCTGAGAGAAGGTATCTCTTCCCATAGACATTTTCTCTGGGGCCTAGGGCACCTTCCCAGAGCCTAGGAGCCTGGCCGTGAGGTTCCCGCCACCAGCTTCCAGACCCCACCCACTTGCCCTCCTGAGGGCCTCACGTTGAGGCCCCAGAGCTGTGAGGCCAGCAGCAGCTCAACCAAGGCCCTACTGGGCAGGTCGCCAAAAACAACACAGAGGTGAGGGGAGGAGGGGGTGGGGCTCCCACTCTTGGGCCTCCAGGGCCCTCCGGGGACCTCCTTGGCACCTTCCTTCCATCTGCTCAACCTGTATCTACTTCCCCAGGGCACACAGACCGCTCTCTGCGTGCCTCCCCACCCCCACCCCCAGCCACTATCTCCATCTCCCCATGCCTTGGGTCTCCTGCCTTGGTGTGCAAATGGGTGCACACCCACGTGCACAACTCCCAGGCCCTTCGAATCCATCCTTCTGGCACCCCAAACTCCCTGGTGTGGGTGAGGATAATTAGATGTCTTCACATAGTCTGGGGGCCCCCTTCCTGTGCGCAGGCCCAAGGTGTGTCTTGGGGCTCCAGCCCCAGGACTCTGAGGGAACCTTCCCTCCACCAGCCCCAGTCTGGTGGCAGGGGCTACCTCCTGCCCCTGCTGGTCTAGGAACTCATGACAAGCCCAGTGTCCTCCTGGGACAGCTCAGAGAGCTTGCCCTGAAGCCCAGAGGTCCACTCTCCTTGGGGGCGTGGGGAGGGGAGGGTACCTGAGAGATGGGGCTCAAGTGTGGCTGCCCGTGCATAGAGCCCCCGTAACCCTGTCAAGATGAGAGACCCAGGCTTTGGAGAAACCTCTAGAAAGTTAGCTTTGGGCACACCTTCCCCACCCCCCCACCCCCCACCCCCAGGGGATACAGGCAGATAAATCCAGGGGAAGAGGGCTTTAGCAAGAGCTGAGATAGTGGTGAACTTTGTTTTAAGGCAGTAGAGATGTCTTTTTAAAAGCTATCTTACAGGCATCCCCATTATGCTGACACAAATGCAGAGATGCTGTTGCTAAGTTGGGGGATGGGGTCGGAGCTCTAGCTATTCAGGCTTTCCCAACCCACTGCCAGAAATCTCGTGGCTCCAAAGAACACATCGGAAAAACCACCTGCTAAAGGCAACGCTATGAGGGCAGGAATTTCGGCCTGTTTTGTTCATTGCTGCGGCCCAGTGCGCCTAGAAGAGAGCCTGGCACACATAATAGGCACTCAAAAAAACCTTGAATGAACATATTTTACTTGACAGGTGAGGAAACTGAGGCCCAGAGAAGTTAGGTGATTTGCCTAAGGATACACAGCAAGGGGTGACCCAACTTCCTCTCTGGCTCTCCCACAGAGGCATTCCTTATACAGAATAAGACAGTCTTCCTACTCAAGTCCCCAGATCACAGTGATCCCCAAGCCTCTCTCTGTGGCCTGAGCACTCAGGGGAGGGTCTCAGCTAGACAGTCACCCCACCTAGTACTCACTTGTTTTTGCAGCCTTGACTTTAGCCACCAGTTTCTGCACCCCAGTCACATCTCCATTCTTGACAGCGAGGATCAGGTCCTGTTCACGACCCATTGTGGTCCCTAGGCTGGGATCTGGGGATCGGGAGTCCGGGGCAGAGGCCAGAAACCTTTAGGTCTAAGCCAAGGTCTCAGGGTACCATGCTTTGGCCCTTTGGAGGGCCAGGCGTCCTGGGGGAGTATGTCTGGTGTCCCAGGCAGCGGGCTTCTTGTTAGGCACTGATGGGTACTCCCTCACGGTCTTTCGTGAGCTGCTGCCACAAGCAGGAAAACCGATCTCTGAGGGGGTGGAGGCTGCGTGGAAATCTGGACAGATATCTGCTTGCAGCGTCTGACGGGCCCAGGGCTGGGCTGGGGCTGGGCGCGCCGTTCTTCCCAGTGTGGCTCAGGAGCACCCGCGCCTACCCAGAGAGCAGCCAGCATTCCCTCCGGCCTCGGGCAGCAGCAGTGGACAAATCTCAAGGATCTGGAAAAGGTGCAGTGCCTCTGCCGAAGGCGGGGCCAGGCCTGTAATGGTCCCAGAAGTGGGGCTCAGAAGAAGAGGAAGACAGGGTTTCCAGGGAGCCCCCAAGCCACCCTAGCTGCCTGTTTTGAGTCAAGGAAGGGCCAAGACACTCAAAGCGGGAAGACAGCTGCCAGGCATGAGAGCAGTATTTGGGGGGAGGAGGTGACTTTCTGGGAGGGGGAGGCTGAGTCACTGAGGCCCCAGGGCACCTGGCAGCACCTCAACCTGGGGGCAGGAGGGGCCCTGGCAGCACGACACACTCGACACACTCGGGCAGGCTAGGCCAGCAGCCTGTTCTCCACAGCCTGGGGCTCTGACACCCACAGACAACTGGTGGGCCAGGAGGTGGAGCCTGGAAGGGTCAGGCACAGGCAGACCCGCAGGGGTCACTCCCTGCGGAAGGTGCCTGCCCCCAGACTCCTCCCAACCTAAGCTTTACTGTAATAGCCGGACGGCCTAGCCCCAGGCTCTTTATGAATTCAAAGGGTGGGGTGGAGAGCTTATAGCTCCCCATTTCTGGCCGGGGTCTGCCTGCTGGACAGGGAGGCTTTACAGCACCTGTTGCTGACCCATCCTCACCCCTCCTGCGGGATGACGAAGCAGCTGGATAGAGAACAGAGACAAGAGCTGGAGCACTGTTGGCAAATGGGGCTGCCTGGCCCCCCAAGCCTGAACCTGAGGCCCGGAGCTTCGACTTCGCTGCAGAAAAGCTTACGTCAGTTTTCAGGGGCCAGGAATTTGTTGCCCGAGTTCTGTGGCATGAGACCCGCGCAGGCCTGGGGCCCTAGCTGGGGTCTTCTTACTCCCAGAAACGTCCCAAGTCCAACCCAGATGGCACTTCGGCTCTTGCCCGCAGCCGACATGGGAGGAGGGCGCCCCTGGTAGCGCTTGGGGTCGGGCTGGCTCCCCCGCCCCCCGGAATGCCCGTCCAGCGCCGCGCAAACCCCCAACCCAGCCCAAGCCAGGCCGACCCGGGGAACAAAGCGGCGGGAGCGACCGGGAGAGCCAAGCGACGGAGGGATTGATGCGTGAGGACGGAACACGGGCGCGAGGAGAACGGAAGGAGCAGAGACTAAGGCGCCCGCCGATCGCGAAAGAAAAGTTAGTTTGTGCCCGCCCTCAAAGGTGCTGACCCCCAGCGCAGGCCCCTCAGTCTCACCTCTCCCGGCTGCCCCGCCGGGGGTCCGGCTGGCCCGGCGCGGTCCCTGGCACTCTGGACCGTGGCTCCCACTGCCCCCCTTAGCCCCTTTCTCCTCTCTCTCCTCCTTTTCCAAGGCCGGCTCGGCGCCTCCCGCAGGAAATCCCGCCCCTCCCCCCCTCCCTCCCGCCGGATCGGGAGCGGAGGGACCGTCCCGGCCGCGCAGTCGGACTGTCAGTCAGAGCCTGCGGCCCCGCCCCCATCCGTGCCCCGCCCCGCCCCCCAACGCTTTCGTCCGCCCTGGGCACGCTGGCCGGGTCAGCGCATGCGCCCAGGTGAACGGGCCGGGTAGGGGTGAGAGTGTGCGCCGCGGCGTCGCGTTTGCGGAGCCGCAGCGACCTGGAGCCCTAGAGTTCAGGCCGAATGGCGAGATGCCCTCCCTGTTTATGACTGGGTGGGAGAGAAGACGTTATGTGAAGGGGTCTAGAAACCGAGATCTGGGGACCCTACTTGGGAAGCCCCCTTCATTTTCGCCCTTCGCCCCTTCTGGGACTCCCGTGGTGACCTCCGCCCACGACCAGAGTCGCCGACCCACAGCCTCTGGTTAGAGCAATGGTGCCACCTAGTGGACCGTGTCGGAGCGGCCCACGGTGGCTGCTGCGGGGACCCCAGCCTCCAGGAGGTGCTAATGACGGGCTGGAGTGGCGCTTCAGCACCATCGTGGGCCGGACAGCTCCTCCCGCCCCCCGGCCCTGGAAACCCGGCTTCCGAGCCCCTCGGAAGGGACTCAACGGAAGACCTAGAAGGAACTCCGAACCTACCCAGCCCGCATCTGAAAGCCCCCGATGGCCAGTCTGCGAGACTGGAATGTGGGAACCCACCACTCTCCCTTCTCCAAACCCGCCTTTCTTCTCTCCTTGTCCAGCCTGAGTGGTGGAGACAAAGCGGCCCAGGGCTAAGGAGGGGAAGGTCACTTATTTATCCACTCTACACTCTCGGACGCCAGGTTCCTCAATTTTTACTAGAGAGGAGTCCAGGGGATGGCTGGGGAGGAGAAGAGCTCCTACAAATCCAGAAACCTGCAATCTCTCCATCCCCGGAATCGAGACACAAGTTTATTGTCAGCGCTAGGACAGCCAAGAAGGTGAGAAGCCGGTTGGTTGAGCCCAGCCAGGAAGGTGAGAAGCCGGTTGGTCGAGCCGGGAGCGACGGTAGCATCCACGGGCGCTAGGGCCCCGCGGAGTTCCGGCGGTGGGCGGGCCGAGGGCGGTGCGCGCGCAGCCGCAGACCTCGGTCCGATGGAGCCTGAGCCCGCCGAGGTGGAGGTTCCCGCCGGGCGCGTGCTCAGGTGGGGTCCGGCCCAGAGAGGCGCGGGTCGCGCGGAAAGGGCCGTAGGGAAGGGGGACGGGAGTCCGGGGCGGGGCTGAGCGGCCCCGGCGGCGCGCCGCTGACCCACGTCCCTTCCTCCCCCAGTGCCCGGGAGCTCCTCGTCGCCCGCTCGCGGTCCCAGAAGCTGCCTCCGCGCTCGCATGGGCCCAAGGACTTCCTCCCCGACGGCTCGGCGGCCCAGGCCGAGCGGCTGCGCCGGTGCCGCAAGGAGCTCTGGCAGCTGCTGGCGGAGGAGCGCGTGGAACGCCTGTAAGCGGGGCGGGCCGGGGCGAGGCCGGGGGCCGTGGACTTCGCGGGGGGACTGAGATGAACTCCTCCCCACTCTTCGCCAGGGGCAGTTTGGTGGCTGCCGAGTGGAGACCAGAAGAGGGCTTCGTGGAATTGAAGTCTCCAGCGGTGAGCTGCCGGGCTCAGGGAGAGGGACCCGCCTTCTCTGCCTTCCTGGCGACTTTGTGACATTTGCTCTGGGTCCTACACAGGGTAAATTCTGGCAGACCATGGGCTTCTCAGAGCAGGGACGGCAGCGGCTTCACCCCGAAGAGGCTTTATATCTGCTGGAGTGTGTGAGTGGGGCCCCTGGGGGTGAGGGAGGGTGAGGACCAAGGAACCGAAAGGACACGTTCTTATTGGAGAAAAAGTGTAGACACAACTGAGTATTCAAGAAGCTTGTAACCTGAATTCCAGAAACGGAGACAAGAATACCATGTAGAGAGCCGGGATCGCAGCCCAAGTCAATGGTGCTGCCCTCCTTTCCCAATTGGCCATATTCTTGCTGTGATGCTGGGGGCGGGGAGGGGGAGAGAGCACTCATATGTCACAGCCTGGAAGTTGACCCACGGGGTGTGCCCCCAAAGCCACAAGCTGAGCTGTTGACCCCACTTCCAGGGCTCCATCCGGCTTTTCCACCAAGACCTGCCACTGTCTATTCAGGAGGCATACCAGCTCCTGCTGACTGAGGACACCATGACTTTCCTGCAGTACCAGGTATCTGCCACCCTCTCCCAGGAGAGGAGCCACCCATCCGCTAAGTCAGTGAGGATTTATAAGAACCCATGAGGTTCCAGACAGGACAGGTGGGGGCTCTGCTGTCATGATGCTTGCAATCCTAGTGGTGTCAATAGGGAGTAAGTGAGCAAGCAACTGAACCGAAGGCTAGGAAGAAGCCAAAGCAGGGGAGGAGCTCAGGGCTAGAGACAAATGTGGGCATCTCAGGAGCACATGGATGGTTTCTAACACCACGAGGCACTCTGGGAGTGTGGCCAAAGTAGAGAGCTGTCTGAGCCCTGGAGCGCTCCAGTGTGAGGAGATGGCGGGTGTGGGGTGGGGGGATAAGGAACCAGAAACAGAGGCTGAGGAGCATCCAACAACCCAGAAGGAAAACCAGGAGGGGTGGCCTCACGGAGGACAAGAGAGGGACGGAAGTGGTCGGCTGCGTTGAAGGCTGCTGAGACACCGAGCAGGATGGGGGCACTCCTGTACACATCTGTGTGATATGGGTCATAGAACACAAGGATGGACTTGTGCTTTACCAAAGACCGCCCCTACCCTACCCTTGTCTGTGGAGGTGAAGGGCGGAGTGGCGGGGTTTGGGGGTGGGCTGTCTACCACCTTTGCCACCTTCTTATTCCCTTGTAGTCAGGAGCTTCACTCTCGACAGCTTCTGTATCATACGTTCTAGGGCGTAGTTCTTTTCCTGCTTCATCAGCTGTTTTTTTTTTTCGTTTTTGCGTTTAACAAGAAAGTGCTAAATGTCATTTGTGTCCAGAGTAAGCTAAGCAAGAGACAGGAATTCAGAGACTGAGACCTTCCTTTGGGGAGGGTGTGTATAATGGAGTGCGGGCCAACCCATGCCAGGGTTTGGAATTGGGGTGTGCAGGAGGGGCAGGGGAGGGGGTGTGGGGGATGCCTCCTGTTTGGAGGAACCATTTGGTGTTTTCAAAAGTGGACATCTCATCTTTTTCTCCTTGAGGTCTTCAGCCACTTGAAGAGACTGGGCTATGTGGTTCGACGATTCCAACCAAGGTAAATGCTGATCCCCTCTCCCTCTCATTTGTTCTAGTCCCGGGGACTGGTAGACAAGCCCCAAGGTGGAAAATGGCCTCTCCTTGGCTGGAGCTGCAGCTCCCTGGCTGCGGACCTCAGTTGGAAGTGCTCTATTGAGAGGCGCGTTGGGACAGATCTGGGTCATTTCAGCTTATCCTGGGCTATCACATTGAGCCCCACCTTCAGCCTGTTCGCTCCACAGATAACAAGTGAACACTTCCAGTTCCCGACAGGTCCCTGGCATGTAGCTGTAGTTCCAGAACGGTGCCTCAGTAGGTGTGTTAGGGGCAGGCCTGTTAGGGGCATGTCTGAATGAAGGGCTAAGTGAGGAATTGACAGTTGAGTCGGGTCTCACTTACGTTTTGCTAAGTTGGATGTTCTTTTTTTCTGGGCCTCTTAAGATCATCACCTTAGTAGCCCAGTATTGCTAAGCGTCATAGGGATCGTCAGCCTTAGAGTAGAAACTGGCACAGCCTTTGCTGTTTCACACTGTGTCACGAAAGCTCTAGAATAGGCGTGTCCTTTAGTTCCTGAAAGTGGGATAAATCCTAAGGAAATAGTGGCAGATGTGTGCAGGAGTTTACCTGTGAGAACGTTCAGTCACTTGATAAATACTTGTTGATCGCCAGGCCCAGGCCCATTGCTGAAGAATAGCAAAATCACTGTCCCCACAGAATTTGCCTTTAGCGGGCAGTCTACACAAGACATCATCAGTTTGCAAAATGGGTGAGCTTGGAAACATCCTGTGAGTTCAATGGGGAAGGCATGGTCACACAAATTAGAGTTTATGCCTTAGAGCAGCACTGTCTGGTAGAACTTTCTGCAGTGATAAAAACAAGTATTTGATGCCTGTGCCGTCCAATATATGTGGCTTTGCAACCGCAGGACTGAATTTTTGTTTCATTTTCATGGACTTAAATTTAACCTTAATAGCTCTTTGTGCCTAGTGGCGGGTATTGTTTGGACAGTGAAGCCTTAGCGCCATAAAAAATCGTGGCAGGGAAGAATGCTATAGTGGTCAGGCGCCATATCTGTAATATACATTCTTGAGTCTAAAAAAGATTAAGCAGCAGTATATTAGTACAATGTCATTTTTTATAGAAAAAAACATATGGAGGCAATATGTGTGTTACAGGGGTGTCTGTAGGTTTTTTCATTTTTACTTTTCTGTATCTTCCAAGTTTTCTAGTTCTCTTGATTTTTCTCACCAGTGATTCATCATTTATTGCTGGCTCTGCAGGAGCCCGGGTTCCAGTCGGTCTCTGTTCAAAGGTGCCATTGGTGGGGCCCAGAGGCCGGGGCAAAGAATCATGGGCAGGCCCCGCTGGTTGCCCCAATTTACCCCTGCCTGCAGGTCTGCCCAGGGCCTTCGTCTTGGCGTGTGGCTTTGGCCCACTGACTTGCTCTTCTGGGCTAGTCCTTCACAAATTCCACTGGGAACTCCAGAGTGAGGAAGTCGATCTGTTGCCTACCCAATTCTCACCCTACAGCTCGATCCTATCCCCTTATGAGAGACAGCTGAACTTGGATGGCAGTGCCCAGTGCTTGGAGGATCAGAATGGCAAGAGGAAGAGGAGGAGCTCCAGCTCTCGGTAATGCTCCCCACGTGGCCACCCCCCAGGGAGTTCTGGGGAGCGGAGCTGTTGAGGGAGTGTTCATTTTGGGAACCCTGGAGAACGGCATTGTCTTAAGAGCTGGGTTTGG